TATATATATATATAGCCCGCAAATGGACATGTTTTGTAAACATCAATGGACATCATATCATGAAAATCAAAAAAACCTTCAAGAGCCCTAAGGGCAAACCAAGCCATGGAAAACTCCATACCTACGGCTCCGGCGGAGTGGCCGCAGACTTAGCAGAAGCCTTTGGCTTCGCCTTTGGGGCATGCTTCTTGCAATGCCCCGCAGCTTTCTTGTAGTCGGAAATCCGCTGTGCCAAGGTTTGGTTCACAGTCAGTAGGCTATCACCTTCTTGTCCAGCGGCAATTGCGGCCTCAATTGGTGATGTTAAGATTCTCGTGTGGTTCCACCCTATAATAGGAACACTTACAAAATCAGTAAAGAACAAATGAGACCCCCGACTTCGACGTCGCCACGGGCTTGTTCCAACCCACCCAAGTGGCCCGCCATGTCACGAACCAAAGCCGTGATCAGATCCTGCGGCCTCATATATGAACGTAGCATGACCAGAACATATCTAATGTATTTGTTTTCATGATGATATATTTTAATATGTGTGTATATAAAGATCTGGATAAATGAGATTCGGACGTGTTGCTGGACTTCAGCTTCGATTCCCAAGATTTGCACTCAAGGATCAAGTCAGCGGCAGTCTTCATAGCCTCAAGCGCAGTCAGGAACACAATGATATCTAAATTCATAGTATAGGATTATCATTCGAAAAAAACAATATATATATATATATATATCCCGCTATATATATATATGCTCCATAAATACACAAATATATATATATATATATATTATATATATATGGAATATATATGGAATATATGTTCTTACATCTCGGTCACTTAGGGGGTAAGTGTTAATAAATTTGGAGCATTGGGGATACATATATATATAGAACCCAGCTCAAAGTTTACAGAATTGGACATGGCACTGAACGGGACTCTTGCTCCGGGGTCTTTGTCTTTGGTTTCCCATTCTGATCACCTTCCTTGGCCTCACCACCACCCTTCTTGCCCTTGGGCTTGGCCTTGGCCTTTGGCTTTCCCTTCTCTCCATTCCCAGTTTGCCCATCATCCACGACACCCTTCCCCTTCCCAGCCCCCTTTGGATCTCCCGGGGCTGCTACCATGGGGAGGTTACCAGCTGAGAAAGCACTGGCATCGGTGTTTCGGATAGCCCCCGAAGAAGATGACGCCACAGCCGAAGAATTTCGATTGGTGTCAGTACTCGTTGTAGAATCCCAACACCAATAGAGCATGAGGTGCGGCTCCTACAGTAGCTTCCAAAACAACACATCTAAATGGGTGAAATTACCATTTGATTCATAAAAAAAATGGTATCCCAATAATTGGATTGTTAACACTAAAATAAAATTAGGTCTATGGTCCCCCAGGTATTTAATTTTGATTCATACCCATATATATATATATATACATATGAAATAGTTCCCTGTATTTGGGTCACCTAGGAGGTAAATGTTGGTAAACATGCCATACGATGGTATTTCTGATGCATTTCCCTATGAGGCCAAACAATGGCGGGATCGAGCCTTGCGTCCCGGAAAGTCCGGGTTCTCAGCAGTCATCCCCTCAGCAACCTGGCCAGGTCTGTGAGAGTTTTTGAAAATGTTATGTGTATATATATATATATTTTTTTTTAATGGTCAACCAGAATGCATTGCATTGTGTTGTTTTTTTAATGATATGTTTATACATTGTAGATCCGAAGCAAATCCCACGGCCGAAGCACCTTGCGTTCGATGAGATCATCCACCAACGTCGTATCGGTGTATTTCATATCCAGTTCCTCAGGCGTTGTGAGTTGTAGATGTTGGTAACCCATTCACCCTTAAGAATCTTGTGTGACATCAAAAAGATATCCCTCACTCCACATTTAGAATTGTTTCTTAGAGATTCTTTCACGATTTGTGAGATCTGTTGTTCCATCTCTTTCGAGTGGCTGCTTTGCTCATAAGTTTCCACTGGCCCTGCAACGCATTCTCTCTCTCATTCCGGGCAGTGACAACCAAACTTGACTTCAGCCAATCTTGGTCAGCTTGGAGCCACTCTTCAAAGAGTTGCGTCCAAGCTTTTGGATCTCGACCTCATGTGAGATGCAACAACATATAAATGTGGTAATATCTCAAAATGAGGTGATATCTCAAAATGAGGTGTACCATTTCTTCTTTAAAGAAACCTTTTTGGTACCAAAAAGGGACAGCTCATTTTGATACATCCCCATGCCATGGCCATATTTATATATATATATGCATGTAAACAACCTACATAGCATGTACATACATGTGCATCATTTATACATATGCGATTGCGTGTGTGCGTAACGCTAGAGTCTAAGGGTTAGGCTGCCAGCAAGTTCCCTTTGCTTTGCCACCACTTCTGGTGGTGCATATTTGCCTCAGATGTTGAAAAAATAAACCCATGGACCCAATGCGGTGGGGCAGAGCTGTTATAAATAAGACACGCGCAAAAAAAATGAATTTAATTTTGCTAGGGTGCTTCTGATGCTGCGATGAAACTTCCCCTTGATTGCGCGGATCCTTTTCTGGGCTGCTGTTGCTTTGTCTTCTGCTGTCTCTGCTGTGTCATTGGGCCGCTGGCTTGGGGTCACTGCAGGTGCATTCGGCGGCTGGGCTGCTGGCGTTGCTGCTGCAGCTGTCGGCTCTACCTTTGGCAAAACTTTGGGATCTTTCGGCTCCAGCTGAGTGGTGACTTCGGGTGCTGTGCCTGGTGACTTCTGAAGGTCAACAGTTGTTGCGCGCAACAATGTTGCACGCACATTGTCAACACTTGCTGTTGGCACTGCTGGCGGTGTCTTCTGTGCAGGTTGGGTCTCAGTGGGTTTGCTCTGTGGAATTTCTGCAGGTGGTGATTCCGCTGTTGGGTGTGTTTCCCCAAGGATGAGTGTGGGCAGGCGGCAAATCCCTCCAGGATCTCGAGGGTCAGGTGAGTCAGGTGCGTAGAGCTGTTCATCTAACCACATTAGCCAGTTCACCGCATCTTCAACCTCATCCTCTGGATCCGTTGGCTTTGACATTTTGAAGTATGTTTCAAAATATGGGTGGGCCACACTTTCTTTCACCAAAGTCTCGTACTGCAATTCATCCATTTTCATTATCTTTGCTCGGACCTGTTCCCTTCTGGAAAGTGCCTCTGGCTTTGGGGTCTCAGCAGGCTTTGGGGTCTCAGCAGGCTTTGGGGTCTCAGCAGGGGTCTCAGCAGGCTTCGGGGTTTCAGCAGGCGACATCGGATCATCAGGTTTTGCTGCAGGAGCTGCACTGGGAGCAGGTGTGGGAGCGTTGCTGCTGGGTTCAGGTGCAGGTGGCATGGGCTCGTCAGGCTGTGTGTCTGCCCCAGGACTGTCAAGAGCCGTGGTTGCAGGTGTCGCTGTTGCACTGGGGGCGGAGGCAGTCGGTGGGGTGATGTTCTCAGCTGGCTTCGCTGCTTCAGGGCTGACAACATATTTTGACCAAAACTGTCTCAGCTTTGCACTGGTTTGACCATTGTTTTCACTCCCATCTGCGTTCTTCACATATTCTACGGTTGTTTTGCTAGGGGCTGGAATGGTGGCATCCGTGCGGCAAGGTGTTGCAACAGGAGCTGGGCGTTCCATGGAAACCTCTGCGTGTGTGCCACCTACGCTTGCAGGTTTGGTCTCAGTGTTTGTGGTTTCTGCTGGTGCCGTGTGCCGCTTGGCTTCTGCTTCTGCAATCAGATGCTTTATGAACGCAAGTTTTGAAGGGTCCATCGACTCAAAAGCAGCCACCTGAAAACAAACACCAAATAATGAGTATCACAGCTCTGACTTCACTCAATGTGATTCTATCGTTTTATTTACTTTCTGAAAACATGTTCGGGTTTCCCACACTGGTTGGATTGACCAAGGCCGGACAGATCGAAGGATTCGATGGGGCTGGCACCATGCCTTCGGCAGTTGGCTCCTCAAGCATCGGAAGACGGTGTGCAGGTGAAAGGTTGCATGGCGGCATCAAACAATATCAACCAATATATTTCACCCAAAACAATGCTCAATAGATCCTCCATGGGGAGTGTATCCAGTAGATCTGGGCAGGTAGTCGAGGAAGACAAAGGTTTTCCAACATCGTCACCTACAGGGGATTTTGAAAAACACATAAGTTTCTATTGTAGACATATATATATATATATGATTGCACCACATCATAATGCCATTACATTCCAAAATGATCCATGATTAGAACATCACTTAGGAGGTAAATGTTGGTAAACACATATTCCAATAATAGCATTGGGACATTGTAGAAAGCCTGCAGTGCTGGTAGCTGCAACCCCTTCATCGGCAGCTTGATCAAAACTCATGGCAAGACTTTTTGGGGCAACAGAAGAAGAAGTTGTAGTCAAACTCACGCTCGATGTACTCCGGGCGATCTTGGGCTCCGGGGTAACCTTCTGTGATGGAGGCGCCTGCCGGCAACCAGAAAAAACTAATACATATTTTGTAATGTCAACCCTGGATTAATAAACCCCCAGGCTGTTTAATTCGGGGGGATATCATTTAAGTATTAGATTATCACTACTTACAATAATTGTAGAGGGTACCCTCATATTTATCTATCCGGGGTTGACATTACGGGTATTACTCCTTCATGGTTATGGATTATATATATATATATTATAATATATAATGCTGAACACATCTTGAAACTATATATATATATGTATATATATATCTTCGATGTGATCGATCTGAATCTGAACCCATACAAACCAACAAATTCCCCCCAAGCACCACGGCCTGGACCTTGTCTTTCTTGCGCTTCACAGCCCGATCCCCAATATCGAGGCTGTGTTCAGCAGCAACCTTCACCCTGAGCTCAGCTGCCTTTTTCAAGGCTTCTCGCACTGCGGCACTTTTCTCCTGTGGGCAGCAGGTGTTTTATAATCTATACTCTTTTATGTTACGGGGCTTCAAATCTTCACCAAAACCTTTGTGATATAAATTCTCGTGGCTAGATTTGACATGGCCCCTGACCTTATCATCTTCCATCGCCGAACCCAAAGGCGTACCAACCAATCTATCAGCTCAAGATTTCCTCTCAAAATGGCTACAAACAAAAATGTGGGTTTTAGAGATCACGTTTCGTCACGCTTTCGTCACGGTCTCGTCACGGTCAGTTTCCGATTTTTTTTGGTCCGATTTTTGGTTTTCCTTTTAAAGTTAATTGTAGCTGATCCGATTTCCGACAAATTCCGATAAATCTCGTCACGCTTTCGTCACGGTCTCGTCACGGTCATTTTCTGAACCACTCACCTGGTCACCCAGTTCCTGCTGTGAAGAAACAACAAGATTTGAGTTGAATTTACGTGTTGCATCGCCAATCATGCGAGCAAATTAGTAAAGTGCAGGCTCATGGACAGCCACTTCAGGGCCAACCCAAAGCTTGGTTGATAGAGAACTGGGTCAAGGACATTCTGGGTCTATGGGCAACCGATAGGTATTTAACTTTTTGAAATCAAATACCAAAATGATTTGATGCCAGGGGCTGATCAAAACAATTTAGCATTATACCGCTCACCCACCAAAGTGCAGGGGGTCCTTTTCATCCCAGATCTCTTCAGTTTTGGCTTTTAAAGGGGTAAGCCAGGTTGAGGCACAAATTTGCCAGCCTCTTTGGCCTGCAAAAGGTAATCCCTTAGGGGTTGTAAATCAGCATGTGCCCAGTCAAACGGTGCCCTCTCAATATGGATGGACGACAGGTCATCTGGCAAATCCACAGCCAGCTTCACAGGAGGCTGTCCTGCCTACCACGACTGGAGGGCAGGGTTTAGTTTGGAAGGGGATGTTCAAAACTCTCAACAATATATCCATGCCACAGCAAGATTGGGAATTGATTGAACGGTACATATGTTTTGAAATTTTCGGGTATGGTGTCACGATGCATCTTCCTTCACAAATATATATATATATATATTAATATTTATATATATATATATATTCATATTTGAATGGGTACATGTTTAAATAAATCTATCTACTTGTAGCGAGAGATGGAGGGTGCCGGGTTTGAGGGATCGAATTTCAAACCACCATTATTTGAAGATCACGGCTTTGATATAGAACCACAAAACTGGCTGTTTGTGAAATATACAACAATTTGGTTTCCAGAACTTAAGGGAACATGATGGATATGAACAGTGTTTGTGTGCAACATATATAATATATATATTTAAATGACATGGTGATTTCTTGAACAGTTGTATAGTTTGTGCAAATATAGATAAACATAATATATATATATATCTCTCTCTCTTTGTATGATGTGTGTGTGTTCTGTCTGACCGCATGCAACTATATACATATACATATAACAGATTTTCCCTTGAATGGGGATTTCAAAATTAATAGGGGTTGCAAAGCCTTCTTAAAACCACTTTTTCGTGACCCTGGGGGAAAACTCTTTATATACCAACCCCTGCTATTGAACATTCGCAAATTTTTCTGGGAACCCACGGTGCATCATTTTTTCAAAAACCACCATCATTTTCAAAAAGAGAACCCCAGCCCCCAGCCATTTGGGTTTACAGTTAACAAAAATCCTTTAAAGGGATCCTCAAGATGAAAAGGGTCCCCGCATGCGGGCGCACGGACCCCTTAATTTTGAAACCCCACATATGGGCACACCCCTGCCCCAGCCAATCAGCCTTGAATTGCTCTGTAACGAACTCTCCAAAAGCTCGTGGGTAGGCTCCGCTCTGCTTCAGCATGGGCCCTCCCGACCTTGCACGATGGAGCAAGGAGCAAGGGCTCCAGGGGGGTGGTTTGGATGGCATGGGTTCTAAAACATTCCATATTCAGTCTCGAATTTCTGATTATATATATATATATATATATCCCAATGTTCCATATACAGTCCCATTATCTACAAACATATATATATATATATGGTTTAGGGGTAAATTTTGGTAAACCTTTCACACCATTATGGAGCATATACTGGGATATATATATATACTATAGGCTGTTGAGCCTGGATACCCTTGTTGGAAAATTAAGACCCCTACGTGCACCGCTTTCCATCCTTATTGATGGTCCTTTTGACCATTTCAGACTTCTCGGCTGATGTCGCAAGCCTTTCCTTGTGGAATGGCTCCAGCTTTCCCAACACATTCATCACCCAGGACCTCGAATCTTCTTTGAAGTATATATAACAACTGAGCTAGATGTAGTGGGCTTTGGAATCAATAAGTTGTACTGTCAAATATCGGAAACTATTTTGCTTTTAGGTTCCAGTTGGCTATTGTTTTGGTATATCTTGAATTTCGAAGGTGCTGATTCACACAGACACATTCCAGCAGTGTGCTGCCTCGCTGAGATTGTAACGGTGATCCACAAAGATACGATGGCTTCAAGCTGAAGTGGTGGTAGTTCGCCATTGGACTGGTTGTGAGGGCTTACAATTCAGTTATAAAAGGGATACACAGAAAGCAAAAAACATAATGGTCATGTTCACTGAGTTTCAAGCAAGCGTTTGAAGAAGCATTTGGCCACACGTTCCAACCAGGTCATGTAGGGGTAATGGATGAATCGGCTTGTGGACGGTTGCTCAACCTTCAAAGTGTTGATTGTGTAAGTAGGGGTTCCACAGCAAAAATCCTGTTGATTCATTTTGCAAATCAAAGCTTTTAACCAAGAGTCTGCCCAATGCGCTCCTATAACTAGCGCTAGGCCGGCAAGGAGGCAAAATCGAGCCCCCAGGATATTTCCAATACGAACCATTTCTTGGCCTTGGCAATCCACTAGCCACTGTGATTTTGTTTCAAAACCCAAATGCTCCATGTATGGCATTTATTTACCAATGATTATGTTTGTTGGGCCAATATTTTAGAGCATATATATTATATATATATATATTAATTTATAATATTATAGTATTTAAAAAACACTTGTCATTTTCGGGTCCAAGTCACGGCTATCACCCAATATGGCCACGTGACGCATATGTGTTGGGCAACTCAGCCACACCCACCTTAGATTCCCAGCTAGATCTTCAATGTTTAAGTTTTCAGGATTATTGCAATAGGTTTCCGAAATCAAGACAATAATTTCCAACAAGCCCCAGCCACGAACTACACGGAACCCCTCCGAATAATAGTCCTCCTTCACGAAGCCGAAGGGTATCTTTGACCGCCTGCATCATGCCTGCTACGGTCAGGAGGTTGTTCATGTCATCTGGCCTGCAGATTGTAGCTTTGGCACGGGGACCCAGGCTTGGAAACTGGGGTTGGTTTCAGGCACCACAGAACGAATACCTATTATGAACGAAATCTTCTGTTTGGTTCCTGACAACTTTTGGAATGACTCTACTGCACCCACTGTGGCCACCCAGCCACCTGCAAGCACTACTGACAAGAGTAAATTTGACTACAACAAAAAAAAGTTTTGGAATCATCACTTGTAGGAATTTGATGAGCAGACCCCCCAGCCCTCAGGTCAACTGGCCTGTGGAGCCAATCGAACCATTGAGCCCGAAACCCAGCCCGACCTTGGAGCAATTGCAAGGGCATTGACAATCCAATATCCAACAAGGGGGGTAAGGCGTGTGTTTTTCCCAAAGAGCTCATACTTCGAAGCCAATCAAATACAATGAGTTGTTTTAAATAACATCAATATATGTCTCACACATGCACACACATATATAAAGACAAAACTATCGAATAGGGCTCACATTGTTTTGTTTCATCCAGTGGGCCAGTTCCCCACAACAAACGGGCTTTGAACCAAGTAGCGCATTGCTGCAGTCAGCTCTCCTTTTCCTGAAAACAGTTCCACGCTGTCCAAAGAGCGGTCCCAGGAACTGCTTGGAAGATCACTGACCCCCTCACATTGGGATACATAGTCAGTGAGGTGAATCCTGGGGCGGTGGTAGAAGTTTGGAGGAACTGGTGGTTTCAACCGGTGTATAATATATAATTGTTATGCATGGATATATATATATACATATATATATGTGGTATATGTTTATCAGGAAAATACATACATACATACATACATACATACATACATACATACATACATACATCCATACATGCCTACATGCCTACATGCCTACATGCCTACATGCCTACATACCTAAGGTACCTACATACCTACACACATACATACCTACATACCTACATACCTACATACCTACATACCTACATACCTACATACCTACATACCTACATACATACATACATACATACATACATACATACAAACATACAAGCATACAAACATACATACATACATACATACATACATACATACATACATATATACATACATATGTATTTAATTTCACCTAGGCGCATCAAGGGAGGTAGTCCAATCAGGAGAAGGATCATGGCTTCCCTCCTAGAAAGTTGCAAGCCCCGGCGCATTGTGCTTAAGCTTCAGTTAAAGATCTATATATGAAGTGCTGGTAGCCGAAAAGTCTCCGGCCGGGCTTTTGGACATGAGCTCATGGAATTGCAAGGAATGAAAACCAAAGATGCCACAAGGATCTTTAAGACACCGATCTTTATGAGTCCTTCCATTTGAAACTGCAAAGCATGTTGGAAACCTTTTTCTTTTGGCTGCCACCCCAGCAGCTTCAAAGCTGGTAACTGCGCAGTCTATGCTGCTTTGTGCACCGGGCCAGCCCCCACATTAAGTACGCACAGCTGCAAAGTTTGGAACACAAATAGCATACATCACAAGTTGGCTGGTTTTATTTCAAACATGTTGGGAACCAAATTCTTAACACACACACATATATATATAGAACTTTGTACCACTTGGTTGTGGGCAGGACCCTACGCATATCAACGGTTGCACGAGTGTTGATGTAGCTATCACATCAATCTACGGTCCACATAGCCACTTTCTTGGCAATAATGAAACACGTGCTCCATCCCTGGTGCTTTCTTACAGACAGGGTGGCACCCTGGTTGCTGTTCACTTTGATTTTATGTTTTTCCAAAAACTCTTGGCCACACTTTGGGACGTTGGCCTCATCCAGGGGCACCTGGCTGACATACATCTGATCCTTCGACCACCTAGGCAAAAGATGGCGCGATGGGGGAAACAAACATTATATGGATCCCGAGGCTAAGGCAGGATTCCAATTGAGCTCTGGGTCGTGGCATCGTTGGGCTTCAAGGTGAACGATTTAGCCTCCAAAATGCGAATGTTTGTTTGTGACTGACCCCAACACTCCCATATATGATTCAATAACATATATGGAATACTTACCAGGTACATCTAAGTGATTTTTTGTGTGAATGTTGGCAAATCTTCCATATATATATAGTATTTTCATTGTAAACATCACCAGCATCACTAGCCTCTGCGGGGGAAACGCCTTCTGGAATCGGAATCTGTGCGGCTTTCAGCGCAGGCTCCTGACCATGCAAAAGGATGAGATGCATACGGGTATATAATATAATCTATCTATATATATATATATGACTTGCTGGACCCAAAAACAATATATATATATATATATCATGTTTTTCAACCCTGATCCCTCCTTCTCGTTCCACAGGTCATCTGTCGAAGCTTCTGCAGGCGGCTTGCTTGCACTTTCAGGTGCCGCAGCTGGCCGGGTGGTTTTCTTTCCATCATTGGTTTTACTCTTACGTTTAGGAGCGGGTTTCTCCTCATCATCGGTATCTGTCTTCTTTTTGGCTTTCGACTTAGCCGCTCTGGGTTTCTTTTCTTTTGGTGGTTCGTCTTCTTGGTCAGCATTCTCATCAGGGTCTTCCCCTTCCCCCTTCTTGGGCACAGGACGCTTTTTGGCAGCCTTGGCAGCCTCGCACGGAGTCATCCCATTTTAATTCCAAAATTGTACCAACAACGTGAATCTGATTTAATGTTGAGGAATTGTTCCGTTGCCAAATATATTTAAGCACCTTGGCTTGGGCGGCTGCCAAATCATCATCATGGGGGGCAGCTTCTTGCATGGCTTTGACTTGCTCAGCCAGAGACCCGTCAACCCGATTGGGTACAGGGAGCAACGCACCACGAGCTTCCTGGAAACGAACACGCTATGGGACATTACATGTGATCAATTGTGGTTACTTATATATCCCATATGCTCCATGTATGAAAGATTTACCACTATCTACCCAAAAAAATGACCCACATATATAGAGAATGGTAAATATTCCATAAATGGAGCATTAATATATAATTTGTTTGTGGGCTTGTTTTGATATCATGTCTCCTTGAAAGCCTGTCGATCAGGATGAACCTCAATTAGAGTACCCCACACAGATGTGTCATAATTCAAATCGAGAGAACTGAGATTCATACTTCCGGTCGGCCTTCGCCACATCCACCCTGACAGAAAGAGCACTCTTGCGAGGTCGGTTTACCCATTTTCTACTGGCCGTTATATATATATATTTTTTTTTATATTTATATCAACCTACACCCCTTGTTATAGATATAGGTTTAAAGAACCATGGTCCCATGGTATTCCCTTATTACTAAATCACATTTAGGATGATGTACAATTCAAAATCCCACGGGCTTCAAACCCAATCTTGTGTCCACAGCCTTTGCAGCAGGTGCTGCTGCAGTCGAGTGAGTGGGTGCCACCTGTCCAGAGGAGGTTCAAGGCTCATGAACCACATGCATATGAATTGATCCATATTGATAGGCAAAAGATCATAAATATGTATATATATATACATACAACGATATGGATATATATCCCATGTATGTTCCATAATGTAAATGTACCTGCTGTATTGGTCAATGTTTGAGGTGCATGTTGACAAAAATATTCTATATACAATATCAGCCACTAGAATCCAGTTGATGCCTTTTTGTATATATATATACACACTATATGGCCCCTTGGCTATTAGACTATTGGAAATACTTCACATGCCCAGGCGCTACAAATTGCGCCAACATTGAAAGCTGAAACTCAGTGCCTCAAGCTTCGGGCCAAGTTCGTCCTCTGTAGATTTGCTTGGGCAATCAGCCTCCAATCAGCTGGCCAGTCAGTACTGTGAACTTCTCTGTTTGGACCCAGTGCCACTATTTTTTTCGGGCCTCCAGCTCTTGTGCAGATTTGGTCGATGTAGCATCCTCCTACATGAAGGGAAACCATTATGCCTATTCTTTTACTTTCTTGTGCAAACACACTGTCAAATCAGGCTCCGGAAAGAGCGAGTTCCAATCATAGTCAGCAGGATACTGTGAATCTTCCCGATCCTGTTGCAATTGGAGGAATAAAGGGGTTATAAAGAAAGTATGATGCACATATCTATATATATATATGTGTGTGTGTATGTATTTTTATATTTGCATAGCATCAGCTGTGGTATGTCTTCTCAAGGACCAACTGGCCACAAGGCGAATGAACGACATGCAGGTCGTGGTGAAAAGGGACAGCTGTCCTCCATCTCTTGCCGGGTGAGGAATCTGACGGGCTCATCTGCCAGGGCTTCAAGGTCCTGCATGCATATTGTATGTTTAGCTAGGGGCAAGTTTCTATTAAATGAGCATCATTCAGGTCCTGATCGCTTGAAGAGACACTGCCCCCAGTATTGTTGGTGGAGTAGAGTGCTTCTACATTCGCATCGCCTGGGGTTGGGGACAGAATCTCAGAATGAATTTGATATATATATGTTGTCGCAATGCTCCATGTATGGAATATTTACCATTTTGGGGGTAACTATTGGTAAATATTTCATACATCGCGTAAATGGGGAAATTTGTATCACCAACTTACCCAACCTCCAGTCACTTCGGCCACCAGCAGCTTCAACGTTTTGATATTCTCGCTCCTGTGAGATTTGCAAGATAAATTGTTAAACAATTTGTTTCCTCGATCACCTTATATTATAGTTATAAGATGCATGTCAGCTTAATAAAATACCCTATAACTCCATGTCAGTAAATAATCCAAATGTGGGCACCAGAAACTAGAGAATTGTTTTCGTAAATGCAACCCAAAGCAGACCCTGTAGTGACAACTTGACTGGGCTGCACAACGAAACACGCAGATCAAACCATGAATTGGTGTTGAAAGCTACAGTCCTGCTGGATTCAGATCGCGTTGCCAACGTCATAGCATGCACACACATGCTGCGCATTTGCCCGGCCCAGAATCCACTCCAGTCCTGCAGCCGGTCTGTAGAATAACATTTATATAGACTTATTGTATGAGCAAACCGAACCCCACCTTAATGACCTTGACACGTGTGCCCTCTGCAAAGATCGCATGGGTCTTCGCGATGTTGATCATCGTGGCCTAAACACGCACCCCCATTCAGCATCACGCGCGCTAGGACCAGCCAGCACAACACACGCGCACAAATGCAGAAACACAATCAGCCAACACCAGGCCTTGAACACTCCATGAGCAGGAATACCGTCAGCAGCAAATTGGGCAAGAATAGGCATCAAAAACCAATGGAAACGATCAACGGCTTCGGCTGACGCAGGGCCCTCTTTGGGCATTCCATGAAGAAAGGGATGTTTTGAACCAGCATTCCTAACCCGGTGAAGAAAGTTCTCATCATCCCGCAGCATCCCCGCAATGATTGCCTTCAACAGAAAGAACTCATATTTCTTCCTCTCGGTTTTATCACCAACAGCACCAGCAGCCATAGCTAGTGAAAAAAGCGCGCGCGCTTGCTACGGGCCAAAATGCTCTTAAGTATATATGGGTTTGATGATGTATATACATATGTGATGTTGGCATGGATTCGCAAAAACCAGAGCACAGCACCAAATAGGCTAGCAAGGGGGGGCATTGGCACCTTGAAAATCATCACGCAGTGTTGACTTGACCTCCCCAGCACTCCATGCGCCTAGGCCAACTGGTTGTCACTTAAACATTATTCTTCAAAATGTTGCACCGCCACCAAAAAAACAAGATTCTGACTGAGCATCGAACCGAAATCTGAAGATCTCTTCATTAAAGGATTGAAATTTGGTAACAGCTGCGGGTGACACACCACAAACTATCAATTTCCATCCCGATTCCATCCCGATTCCGATAAAAAAGACGAATGTAGGCTTCAGGGATCGACATTGCAATGTTAGCTTCTGGTGCCCACATATGGATGTTAGATATATTTGCTGACATGGAGCTATAGGGTTATATTATATTATATTATATTACGTTATATATATACTGTATATATTCCATATTATGCCATTATATCCACAATATATCCCCATTGTAGTCCCATGGTTGTTGGGTAAATGAACACATCATGTCGTCCAACGCCTCCCGCACCGTCTTCTTCAGGATTTCATCCGCCACCGTCTTCGCAGCTGTTGCCTGGGTTGAGGAGTGGGGATGGCAACCAAATTTTCCATATTTCTAGGATTTTCTAGGATAAATGGTCGGGAATCTATGGAAACCTCTAACAAATGGTGATAAATCAATATAAATCATAGAAACTAGGGGAAGTTTCCATATTTTCGACCTGAAGAATGATCAGAATTCAACTGATTTCGGCTCCTTGCCCAGTTACCCTGGCGAATTCTATCCCAAAGAGATGATCAGTATCCCTTGAAACCCTGCATTTTCTGGTGAGATTCCCCATGATGTGGATTTGCTCATGACAAATCACGATTTTCCAACAGAAAATGTTCCTTCAATTGCGTAAGATGTTAATGGAAATTCAGTGCAAACACATAATTTTTGCAGGGCAGTCCACCCTTTTCTTCAATTGCGTACCAATCATAAGTTTGGGGATACAAAAATATTTCCAGTTCCCCCAGTTTTGCTGGTCATGAATTTTTGTGGTTGCCATCCCCTTTCCTCAACTCACATAGACCCTGACGATATCGGTCATTGCTTCGAGGATCGCAACCCCAATTGTCACGGTATCTATCTTGGTTGGACAAACAATCTTGAAACTCCCATTTCTTCGAGTCTATGTTGGTTGGAGGGATGGTAGTCGTCCAATACATTCCATCAGTCGTTGGCGAATTGCCGGAATTTTGGGTTGGTTTTCACCTTGATCAAGACTTGAGGCCTTTTAGCATGTTTTTTTGCTGCAACAATGATTGTATAAACGTTAGGCTTCTAACCCAGAAACATGGGACTTGAATACACAAACATTCGGAGTTCAATCCAGAAAAATAATAACTAAAACAAATGAGCAGTGTTCAACACCCCCTGTCAGCTGATGATTCTAGGAGCCCTGTCTTTAACCAGCCAGACTTCATTGAATGACATTTCGGATTTTGAACACTCGGAGGTGGATGGGTGAACACCTTGTCATGCTCCTTGAATTTGGATGATCGTTCATAACTGCCAGGGAATATCTGTATGTTTAATGGGTACATCACAACCTTTCTACCATGTTTGATAGTTAAATACCAAATTTTGAACCAAACCCACAAGCCAATTATGTAACTTTGACCATAACACACCTAGTCGATCAGGTCAACATTCATAAATATACCATTTATATCCCATGAAATTCCATGAATATCCCAGCACACAACATTTATATCCATAATTACCAGACAGTTCGAAACAAACGACCTAATATTCACAACTATCCAAATACTCATTGATATCATGAGTATCCCATGTATATTATCTTTATATATATATATATCTTTATACTTTATATACCATTCACCAAAAAAGTACCAAGAATATCCGTATTCTCACATACCCTCTGGTAAACTGATATAACCATGGAAGATCATCATTTTGAATGGGTAAATCAACTATTTCTATGGCCATTTTCAGTAGTTAAACGTTTACCACAAAATCTTCCCCAACATATCCCACCAACATATCCCAACTTTTTTTTTCTCGCATATTTCCCAGATATTCCCCATATTTTCCCCATATTTTCCGCATATCCCACCACAACTGCTTTAGCTCCACCGGTCTCCACCGGTCTCCACCGCTCCGGTCGCCACGGGGCCACTGCGCCGTGGATGCCGCGCTGCAGGCGTTCGGCCTTGCCACGCAGCTGGGAGGCGGTCGACTCCAAGCGTTGCGCCTCGCGGGTGTCCTCGCCGAAGATGTTACTCCATTTGTTACTCCACACTCTCTGGTAATTTAACAAAGCTATTTTAGATATATATATATATATATGTATGTATGTATGCATGCATGCATGCATGCATGTATGTATCACAGGGTGGTGCTGAGTTGAGAAAACCACTGTAAGTTGGCTTTTCATCATGTTCAATCCTTCTGTTTCAGTATTTTTTAAATGGTTAGCTAATGTTCAATACTATACTCCATTTTGAAACCACTAAATTTTAGTTGAAATCCATTGACATCCTAAGGTTTATCGTGATTCTTCCCACTAAATTGCCATTCTATGGGATAAAAATCATTGCTTTTCATCAGTTTCCCTATTTTTGATGATGAACTGGTGAAATCCCAAAGTGTTCACTGACAGACTTCACACATGATGTGCGTGTACAAAAGGACTATCATGGGCGATGCATGTTGCAAGCTGCATGATTCAACGACGTTGCAGCGCTAAAGTGAAAAGTGCAAATGTTAGTTTTTAAAATTCCATAAGTATATAGATTGTCCATGATTTTTACGTCATTCTTTTTCCCCACCTGCCAGGTGAGGGGTTGTTAGATTTTATCAGAGCGCATGCCCGCCCGCCGCCTCTTCCTCCTCCTCCTCCTCGACTAGCTGTCCTCCTCGCCCTCCTCCTCGCCTCCGCCTCTTCCACCTCCACTTCCGCCTTGCCAACCTTACCAACTCGTCGCCAAGCTCTTCGCCAACTTCCCAGCTCAGTGCGCACTGCTGGACCTCAACCTGCGAGCTGCCCAGCTCAGTGTGCACCGCTGGACCTCAACCTGCGAGCTGCCCAGCTCAGTGTGCACCGCTGGACCTCAACCGGGGACCTGCCCAGCTCAGTGTGCACCGCTGGACCTCAACCTGGGACCTGCCCAGCTCAGTGTGCACCGCTGGACCTCAACGGCCAGATAGAATGCCAGAAGATATGCCAGATGGAATGTCAGATAGAATGCCAGAAGATATGCCAGAAGATATGCCAAAACATATGCCAGAAGATATGCCAGATAGAATGCCAGATAGAATGCCAGAAGATATATCAGAATATATGCCAGAAGATATGCCAGAAAGAATGCCAGATAGAATGCCAGAAGATATGTCAGATAGAATGCCAGAGGATATGCCAGATAGAATGCCATAAGATTTGCCAGATAAAACGCCAGAAGATGTGCCAGAACATATCCCAGAAGTTATGCCAGATAGAATGCCAGATAGTATGCCAGAAGTTATGCCAGATAGAATGCCAGATAGTATGCCAGAAGATATGTCAGATAGAATGCCAGAAGATTTGCCAGATAGAATGCCAGAAGATATATCAGAATATATGCCAGAAGATATGCCAGATAGAATGCCAGATAGAATGCCAGAAGATATGTCAGATCGAATGCCAGAAGATATGCCAGATAGAATGCCAGAAGATTTGCCAGATAAAACGCCAGAAGATATGCCAGAACATATCCCAGAAGTTATGCCAGATAGAATGCCAGATAGTATGCCAGAAGTTATGCCAGATAGAATGCCAGATAGTATGCCAGAAGATATGTCAGATAGAATGCCAGAAGATTTGCCAGTAAGAAAATGTATAAATGTCATGGTGGGGATCACACGAAGTAAAGTAATTTAATAAGTGATTCTTTTTCTGCGGGGTGTATCCATAGATTCTTCGATTCTGGGATGCTCAACGGACCCAGCTCCAAACCGATCGCAGCTCCAACGCTGTCGTCCTTATGCATTGACACCAAGGCTTCGGCAGCCTTGCGTTCGAAGAGTTCGGCTAAGACCTCGGAGTGTGCAGATGTCAAGTTACATGGGAATGGTTATGGTTATGGAATAAGACCGGAAATCATGGGATAAGTTAGAGAATTGGCTTGTTGATTTGGTGGAAAATGGGCTACTGAACCATGACAAATGATTGCAAAGGATGATTTACTTATATGGGAATGCATGAGGAATATGGAGGAATATGGAGGAATATGGAGGAATATGGAGGAATATGGAGGAATATGGAGGAATATGGAAATGCATGACCAACGATCAAGGATAGAATGGGATATGACTTGGGCCTGGTCATCCCGTGACATGGACAACCATCCCAAAGAATTGGGCAACTATCTCAAGTGTTCACCATGGCACAAAATGGCAGGTGTAGATCTCCAAAGTCTGGCTTTCATAAAACAAATGTAGCCTCTGGATAACTTCTAATGGTCCACCCCAATAGTTCTGCC